GACAAAGAATTTCCAAAATATACAAGCAGCTCATACAACTCAAATGGCAGAAGAACAAACAACCTAATCAAAAAGTGGGGGGAAAGCCTTAAACAGACATTTTTCCAAAGAAGACATACAGATGGCTAACAAACACATGAAAAGATGCTCAACATTGCTCATTATTAGAGATATGCAAATCAAAACTATAATGAGATACCACCTCACACCAGTCAGAATGGCCATCAAAAAGTCTACAAACAGTAAATGCTGGAGAGGGTGTGGAGAAAAGGGAACCCTCTTGCATTGCTGGTGGGAATGTAAACTGATTCAGCTACTATGGAAAACGGTATGGAGATTCCTTAAATTAGGAATAAAACCACCATATGACCAAGCAATCCCAGTCCTAGGCATATACCCTGAGGAAACCAACACTGAAAAAGACACCTGTACCCCTATGTTCATTGCAGCATTATTTACAATAGCTAGAAAATGGAAGCAATCTAGATGTCAATTGACAGATGAATGGACGAGGAAGCTGTGGTACATATAATACAATGGAATATTACTCAGCCTTAAAAGGAATGCATTTGAGTCAGTTGTAATGAAGTGGACAAACCTAGAGCCTATTATACAGAATGAAGTAAATCAGTAAGAGAAAATATATATACCATATACTGACTCATATATATGGAATCTAGAAAGATGGTACTTATGAATTTTTCATGGCAGCAGTGGAAAAACAGACATAGAGAACAGACCTTGGACATGGGGAGAGAGGAGGAAGGAGTGAGATGTATGGAGAGAATAACATGGAAACGTACAAAACCATATGTAAAACAGACAGCCAATGGGAATTTTCTGTATGACTCAGGGAACTCAAACAGAGACTCAAACTCTGTGACAATCTAGAAGGGTGGGATGGGGAGGGAGATGGGAGGGAGGGGACATTGGTGTACCTATGGCTGATTCTTGCTGATGTTCTACAGAAAACAACAAAATTCTGTAAAGCAATTATCCTTCAATTAAAAATAAAGTGGCAAAGAAAATCATCATCAGGAGCCAAAGCAGCCACTGCTATACTGTATTCTAGAGAACAAAAGCACAAAATGGTGTACGCTCTTGATCAATTTCTCAAACTTTTACTTATTCATTTACTATCAACATGATTTCTGCAACATCCAAGTACTGTTGTTTAGTTGCAAAGTCATGTTTCTTTTGCAACTCCATGGACTACAGCCCACCAGGGTCCTCTGTCCATGGGATGTGCCAGGCAAGAATACTGGAGTGGCTAGGCATTTTCTTCTCCAGGGGATCTTCCTGACCCATAGATCAAACCCATATCTCCTGCATTAGCAGGTGGGTTCTTTACCACTAAGCCACCAGGGAAGCCCCTCCAAGTACTATACCCAAGTGCTGTACCTTAATACTTTTCTTTAAGTCAACTTACTTTTTAAAAACTGGCCTCATTCTAAACAGTTATACCTATGAAACTATGGGTTTCATGTGTTCTATTTTTTTGTAATATATATACACTAACCATTAAAACAAAGTATTCATACCATTACCACCCACATCATCTTTGAAACCACATTCTAAAGCTGCTTTATGGTTGCTCTGAGACCGGTGGGAATAGATTAGGTAGTAGCGATTTGTGGTTTTACTTAATTTTTCTGCTACTGGCAATGATCACTTACAAAGGTTTGCAGAACATACAAATGAAACCAACCAAATAACAAAATTCATCCCAGTTATACATAACAATGAATATTTTCAAGAGAAGTCCTAAATTGTTTAAACCTAAACAGACAACCCGGCAATTTATCTTTTATTTAATCCCTCTAACTCTATTTTCTCTATCACAAATGAAAATCAGATTGGGAATAAAGGCCGAACTTGTGACCTAGACTCAAGAACAGAACCAAAGGAAGGAGAAACACACTAGTGGGTTTTGGACTGAATCACTAGCATTTCAGTCAAAAGAAATGGAAGGCATGCAAATCATTCAAGAGAAAAACTGTTATCTTCAAGACAGTGAAACAGCCCCCTGAAAATGCAAACCACAATCAGTTATTAATCAACACCTTTCAAGTCTGTGTTAGAAACCAAGAAGTTCTCCATCACTCCAACAACAACAATCACTGACCAGAGCAAGGAGAGAAAACTTCAATCACTGATTACATCTACAGATATTTTATAGATGCAGTTTGGAGCCAGTCTTAAATTCACCATATTAAGAGCCACACTACACACTTTTAAAAAGTCATCCCTACAATGCATTCTATTAAGACCACTAACCTCTTCATTGAAGGAAAAAAAGATATCCTGTACCTAAAATAAACAAGTTATTATGGAGACTATGAAAAGATCAAAGAGTTGTTTATAATCTAGCATGGGAAACAAGACATATATTTTGCAAACAGTAGTGCTTATGACTACTGAGAAATTTTTCCCCAACATATAGTTTCAAAAAACTTTAAACATATAGCAAAGTTGAAACAATCTCATAGTGAACATTAAACTAATCACAACTGAGACTCTACCAGTTTTACTACATTTGCTTTACCACCTATCAATCCATCTGCCCAATCCAAGATATATTTTTTATGAACTGCTGGGATTTTAAAAGTGAGCCTATGTGTAATGAAGAATCTTAGTAGGTCATTTTAGGGTTGCCTCTCAATTTTTGCTGATGATGTGCATGAACAAAAAAGTTGGAAAACCACAAACCCACAGTGTTCAACTACCTCGCCAACCTCTAATCAAAATCTACTCAGAGCTCAAAGGCCATTTTATGTCTCCACATCTGTGTCCACTCTCTGAACGATTCTTTCCAGACCTCTTCAAAGCTCAGTACCAATCTGTGAAACCTCCCTCAATTTTCACACTCTCAACCAGAATTAACCAATACTCCCTACAGGGACCATATTTTTCAATCATGAGAAATTAGCTCACAGTATCTGCAACTTTGTTTTCAGCTTGTCTCGTTTACTAAAATCTGACCTTCTTGAGGGTAGTGATCCCCTTACTTCACTCTGAATCCTCAGCAATCAACATATTACCTAGCCTATAGGTACTCAACGAATAATAACAAACAGCCCCAAACCTGTCTTTACCCAGAAGCCAGAGAAGATTTTAGTCCAATATGCAAATAATTTAATCTGACTGGCACTTTAGAAGGCTTCATCTTAGAGCACTGTTGCTAAGAGCATGAGTTTTGGAGCCAGATCACCTGGGCACGTATCCTAGCTCTGCCATTTATTGCCAGAGTGACTCTGGGCAAGTTTCTAAACCTCCTGTGCCTCAGTTCCCTAATTTGAAAATGGATAATACTGTTTCACAGGTTATTGTGAGGATCAAATGAGATAATTTTCATTTGATAAAGCACCCAGATTAGCAGCTGGCACACAGTGAGCATTCCATCAACCTTAGTCATTGTTGACAGCAACCAAGTTAATAATGACAATGAGGTAAAAAGTCCTTAAAGGTGGAGTGGTAGCAGTGAAAACAAAGTGTAAAGAATGGCCATGAATGGACAAACTACTGAAAAAATGCCCAGTCAGGAAGGCAAGCAAATGGAGTCCGATATATATATTTCTCCCACTTTGTATTGAGATAGCTTGTGACTGAATTTTTTTAAAAAATTATTAAAAACAGCTATAATCTATCCAGTCTAGGCACATATTAGATGCTGAGCACAAGAAGTCTAGCATGACTGGACTCTAGACACAAGCTGTATGACCACTGCAAGTTTCTTTATGTGGGTCTTTCAATCTCTTAGCTGAGATTTTCCCCTCCTCATTACTCCACCCAGCACCATTTCCTTAGTTTATGATTCCAGTTCCATGTCGTTTTCTGACTGTGTGCACATCCCCAAGAGCCTTGGTTGGGGAATAGGTTTGTAGTTCTGTCCTACTCAACCCTGTACTACTTTTTTTTTCTTCCTGCCCACCTTCTTTAATTCTCAAGCCTTGCTATTCCCTACACGTAGGAACTTGAAACCTAAGAGTATGGGAAAGCAACAAAGCAACAGCAGTTGTGCCAAGAACTGGGGATGCTGCCAAGCTGTTCTCCAGGCCCCATATGCAGTGACCCCATGCAGAGATTAGACTGGCCCCCATGGGGCCGCACATGCTTGATATTCCCATTTGCTTCTGCTGGCTTTTTTTTCTCTCCTTTAAAGAAGCCTCTTTCCAAGCCTGTAAGTAATTCAAATCCAATTCATTCTTTAAGACCCAGGTGAGGTCCAACTTCAAGGAAGCCTCCTCTGAGCATGGTAGTCCAGATATAGCCCCCCAACACACATACACCAAACAAGTACTATACTTAACAATCATTACCATAAAGCGTAACCACATAACACATTTATACCATTGAATAAATGTTTCATATGTATATTTTGATTTTCCAAGGGCAGGAACCATGTCTCACATGTCTTCTAAACCCCTTCCTCTTAGTGGGTTAACATTGGTTGAAAAGTGAACCAGTCGGTTTGTTTGTTTAGGCTAAGGAAGGATGAGATAAAAATAGGTTGAAATGAAAATGGCTGAATGGACAGATGGGTGCAAAAGAAGCAATGGTTCAAAATTCGGGGAAAAGCTGTAGAAGAAAGGTGTTCAATTAACATGTTTAACTGATCTGCTGCAAGTTTGGAAAGAGACTAACAGAAGGATGTCAACTGCAAAATTTGAAAAGGGCAGCTTGAGGCAGAAAACAGCAGGTGAAAGATGGAGCTACAAAAGACATTCTGCTAAAACCTAGAGATAGGCCAATTGGGTAAAGGGGGTTATTGGGATGACATGGGTAGAGAGATGTGGTTAATGTAGGTGACCGAATTGGTAGGGGGTGGTATGAAGGGTTGGGTAGATGGATAAAATGGTCAAGGGTATTTAAGCAAGTGGGTTAGCCGACTGGGCAGTGAGTGGGTAGATGGGAGAAAGGTAAGTGGGTGGGTGGTTAGGTGTTTAGTTGAGAGGGAATAGGTGTGGAGCGAGTTATTTAAGATCCGGCCCCTCCCTCACCTTGACCCGGAAGCGGATGAGTGCTAGCCTCACGCAGTGGCTCAGGCAGGCCGGTGGCAGGAACCAGGCCCGAGGAGGAGGGGTGCCCTTGTTGCCCACGTGTCCCACGATCAGTTGCGCTGTCTGCCGCTCGGCCTGGCACCGACGGCCCCACTCAGCCAGCCGGTCCTTGCCCAGGCCCCCGGGGAACATGACCACCAGCTCCAGGCCGTCGCCGCCGGGATAGGCACAAGCCTGACAGAGCGCTGACAAGTAGCCCAGCATGGCGTTCCATTGGCCGCCACACACCCAATCCGTCTGGTAGCCGCCATAAAGCCGCGGCAGCGCTGAGCCCGCGTCCACAAGCACCCGGGCTCCGGGTAGCGGAGGGGGCGGCGGCGGCGGCGGCGGTGGCGGCGGCGGCGGCGGGTGCAGGCCGGGGTGCGCCTGGCCGTGATGGTGGAAGTGGTGAGCGGGGTGATGGTGCCGAGTCGGCCCCGCGCCCCCGGAGTAGGCACCCAAGGCGGCGGGCGGGAATGGCGGTTGCTGAGGCGCGGAGCCCCTGGCGGCGCGTGGAGCCCCGGGCGCTAGGGCTGCCGTAGGCGGCAGCTGACGATGCTGGTGCTGCTGCTGGTGCTGCTGCTGTTGCTGGCGCGAGACCGTGCGCGCGAGTTTGAGGAGGTCCACTGGCACCACGGCCCCGGGACAGCGCTTCTCCAGGAACTCTTGGAAGCCCTGAACGCCCATGCTTCGTCGGTGGGCAGATGAGACGGCGGCTGCGCAAGCAGGCTAGGCGGCTATCTGGGCGCGAAGCTGGGGGCGGGCGCGTGCGCACTCCGCAGGGGGCGAGGGGACAGCTGACTGGATTTGGGAGAAGGGGTGAGGCCGACCGGACTCTGGAGAGGCTGGGAGGATAAAACCGATGACGGACTGTAGTCATTTCTTTTTTATCCCTATCCCGCCGCTCTTCACCGTTTCAAAAGGGGTAAAGCCTTTTCCTGCCACCGCCGGGAGCCATATTGTCTCTTCTCTGTGGTACACACTTTCTAGCTGTGGTGGTGGAGTAGCGGGGGCGGGGCAGGGAAGCGGGGCAACCTGGGAGTTGTATTCTCTTCTAAGGCTTCGGGATAAATAGTTGGAACTAAATTATCCTCTTCTACTCTTGTGTTCACTAGGTATCAAGGGGCGGGGCGTGATAAGCGTTTAGGATTTGCACTCTAACTCTACATCCACCGAGTTTCTTCAGGCTGTTTATCGCCTTTCCGAGGAAAAGGAGTTTGGGGGGTAGTGATGCATCATGGGAACGGAAGTAAAGTGGATTATTTTAATTCAGCTTAAGTATTATAAGATTCCCAAGGAGAAAGAATTTTCCTTTGGGGGGAGGGAATAACGTGGGTAGCACATTATTAAAAAAGACACATATGAAAGGTAAAAATGATAACCACCAACATTTCTGTGAGGCCTTGATGCTGGGAAAGATTGAAGGCAGAAGGGGAGGACAGAGGATGAGATGGTTGGATGGCATCACCAACTTCAATGGAAATGAATTTGAGCAAACTCTGGGAAATAGTAAAAGGGAAGCCTGGCGTGCTACAGTCCATGGGGTTGCAAAGAGTCAGACATGACTGAGCCACTGGATAACAATAATAATATAATCTTAGGTTGTAAAATAACCTTAGTTCTGTAATAATCCACATAACTTTTAGCTAAGGTAATTCTTTGAGGAAGAGTTTTTTGGCCCCAGTTTATGAATAGTGAGATTTACATTATTTATTTGCCTAAGGTAATGCAGAGACAAAGTGAAATGGGATATCCAGTGTACTCGGGATCTCTTTGTTTAGGGATATAAGCATCAACACAAATTAAACTACAAGTTGTACCTTTCTGGTACTCTTTGAGCTACAATGTCATATAGTTAGGACATTTATTTGCAACCACTATGAATCAATTTGTTGGGGAGCTCTTGAGAAAATAGCAGTAAGGGCTCCAATTCCAGACATAATTGTAAGGAAGGGAGACTCCATCCAGGGTCTGAGAATGAACTATTGTTTAACACTTGGAAATGAATTGTATGAGGAGACATGTGCTGACAGAGCAAGAGGCTTTATCGGGAAAGGGCACCCGAGCAGAGAACAATAGGGTAAGGGAACCCAGAGAAGTGCTCTGCCATGTGGCTTGCAGTCTGGGAGTTTATGGTGATGGGATTAGTTTTCAGTTTGTCTCTGGCCAATCATTCTGACTCTGGGCTCTTACTGGTGGTGTGTGAATTGCTCAACCAAGATGGAGTCCAATGAGGATTCTGGGAGGTTGGTAGGACATATGGACTGGCATCTTCTCTTTTTGACCTTTCCTGAATTCTTCTGGTTGGTGGTAGCTTGTTAGTTCCATGGTCCTTACCAGGATCTCCTGTTGTTAAGATAACTCATGCAAGTGGCTACTATCTTGCCTGGCCAGGGCAGGTGGTTTCAGTTTTTCCCCTAACAGTACAGAATCATCTTTTGAAAAATCTATTTTCAGCATTCTCCTTGGCTGGTTATGATATTGTGCCAGTCTTCTGGATGACTGGCTTTTAGAGCCCACTGTTTCAGTAGGAGGAGAGTAGCAAAGAAGATTCATTCTGTTTTGTGAGTAGTAGTCAGATCTCGCTTGGAACTTAATAGAAGGCAGGAGATAAAAGCAGGCTAAATAAGAACACAAAAGTGCAGAACCCAAGAGTAGTCCAGGTGAAATGAAGTCTGAGAATAGTGTGCGTGCATGCTACGTTGCTTCAGTTGTGATTGACTCTTTGTGACCCTATGGACTGTAGCCTGTCAGGCTCCTCTGTCCATGGGATTCTCCAGGCAAGAATACTGGAGTGGGTTCCTGTGCCCACCTCCAGGAGATCTTCCTGACCCAGGGATGGAACTCTTACATTTCCTGCCATTGGAAGGCGGGTTCTTTACCACTAGTGCCACCTGGGAACCCCGAGAAGAGTGTGAAAGTGTTAATCACTCAGTCATGTCTGACTCTGTGGCCCCGTGGACAAGTTGCCCATTGAGAAAAGTGTATGGGGATGCAAAAGCTGAAAAAGCATCAAACTCCATAAAGAAATTCATCATAAAAGACTAGTGGAGATAGGATAAGCCAGATTGGCAAAGAATAAGTAGATGTTGAAGCAATGCACATAAATAACTCTTGAGAAAACAAGCAGTGAGAGAGAATAGTGGCTTGAAAGGATGGCAGATGGAAAGAATAGAGGTTTTTCTAGTATAATGGATACCTAAATGATTGTCTACTCAGCCCTCCTTTCCTAAGAATTAAACCTCTCCCCATTTACAGTTATAACAAAAACTGTCATGTTAACCATAACCATAGCTGACTGGGTCAGAGGCACATAATGAATTCAGGCTGGGTTGATCAGAATCTCATTCCCTAGAAATTTGAAACTGGACCAGAGAGACCAGTTTTTCTTGAAATTTAAATCTTGCAAGCTATCAGCAGTCAATTTTCCCATCAGATGAACAAAATTAAAAGATGCTGGTCTGAAGGAAGGGAGAAAAATGCAGACTCGGAGAAGACATGGAAGATAGGAAGGCTTCATCATGTTTAAGTCCCAGGTTTTATATCATTCTTTAGATATTCTTGTCCTTGGTTTCTCTGAAGCAATCTCATATCTTTACTATTTTTAAGATAGAATTGAATTAGAAACTACTCATGACCAAAAAATATTAATGCAAGAACTGGTACCAGAAATGGGGTGTGTCAAATTACAAACCCTAAACTGTGGGACTGGCAGAGATTGGAGATCTCTGGTATCATTAATCGAAAGTTTGCATTCTGTTATTTGGCAATGAAATAGGTGCTTATTGCTTTTGAGACTCAAAAACAGCAGCCCTTCTGCATATATCAAGAGTTTGGCAATTGTTGACAGTCAGATATTCATGGGCTTTGCTGACTTATAGTAGTAGAACTCTGTCTCATTTCAAATATTTCACTAATTAGGAAACTGGCATCCAGGCAGTTGGAATGAGGTTATCTATATAAGCAGATTCTTTACCATCTAAGCCACCAAGGAAGCCATCTATATAAGCCAAAGCTCCCAAATGTGAAGATCTCTTCCTCTGTACATGCATTCAGCTTTCAGCTGAATGGGTAAGTGTAACATGCCCAGGGCAGATCAAAAAAGAGAAGCTTCACGTCCTTTAAATCAGCCTACTGTTTTCTATCTGTGCTCTGAACTGGACACCTTGAGCAGAATGCCAGGGAGAAGGAGGCAAGTCCTTAGGTACAGAGCTAAGAAATAGAGCTGCAACAGAATGAGCAGAATGCCAGGGAGAAGGAGGCAAGTCTTTAGGTACAGAGCTAAGAAATAGAGCTGCAACACAATGAGTCAGGTTACTCTGTTTAGTAAATCTAAAGATTCAAAGTGCATAAGTTGACTAGATTCTTGGCACTTATTAGCATTGTGAGTCCCCTCAAATGAAATCAACAGGCAGTCATATGAGGTTTTGAGGAAGTTGTAACACTAGAAAATCATATCTAGTGAACAGCGACCGTGAGCCAGCAGTGATTCTCAAAGTATGGTACATGGACTAGCACATCTGCACCTAGAATCTGTTAGAAATGTAAGTTCTTGGGCCTCACTCGAGAGCTCCTGAATAAGAAACTCTTGGGGGTAAGGCCAGTAATCTGTGGCTTGTGTCTGTGCTCAGTCGCTTCAGCTGTGTCCTGACTCTTTGCAACCCCATGGACTGTAGTCCGCCAGGCTCTTCTGTCCATGGCATTTTCCTGGCAGGAATACTTGAGTGGGTTGCCACGCCCTCCTCCAGGGGATCTTCCCGACCCAGGGATCTCTGTTGCCTGTTTTGCAGGTGGATTCTTTACCTGCTGAGCCATCGGGGAAGGCCAATCTGTGATTTAAGTGGTGTCAAAGATAAACAAAGGCTGACATCAGTTAAAGCAGTGAGAACAGATTTTATTCAGTTACTGACAGTAGGGGAAAGAGCAGAGCTCCATTCCATTTGTGCAGAGGTGACAGCATTTTATTTATTTATTTATTTATTTTTGGTGACAGCATTTTAAAGGGAGAAGGAGGGAGGAGGAGTGAGGCGGGGCTCAAGTAGAGGCAAGAAAGGGAAAAATTACAAAGGGCTGGCCAGTGTAAATGCAATTAGGCTAGCTGTGTCTGCTCATTGGCAGTTACTGAAGTCAGCATTATATCCTATAATATAAGAGAGACAGAGGCCCTGTCCTTCATAACGATTACATTTCAAAGGATCGGTCCTTGAGACACACACTCTGGAGTTGTAGGAGATACATATACATCTCAAAGGGACAGGGGAAGAATTGATAATTGTAAGCCCTTTTTGGTAAACACTGTTAAGAAAGAGAGGTCAGGAGTCTATTGTCAGATGTCAGTTAGAATAAGCTGTAAATTCTTTTTACAGCCCCAAGCTTTTCCAGATGAAAATTGGGTCATCCCAGAGACTCTGACATATTAACATACTAGAACATGTTAGAACCGGATATGGAACAACAGACTGGTTCCAAATTGGGAAAGAAGTATGTCAAGGCTGTATATTGTCACCCTGCTTATTTAACCTATATGCAGAGTACGTCATGAGAAACGCTGGGCTGGAAGAAGCACAAGCTGGATTCAAGATTGCTGGGAGAAATATCAATAACCTCAGATATGCAGATGACACCACCCTTATGGCAGAAAGTGAAGAA